ATAAATAAAATGAAAGATTAAAAGTTAAGATTACTGTGTGATTATACACCTTTCTTTTTGTCTCATTTACAAAAATCCATATTATTTTGATCCATTTTGGTTGTTTTTTAATTGAACAGGAATGTTTAGAATTCAAATTAAATATTTGAATGTTTTTTTTTCTGCATAATTCATAAATGAAAGCCAGCCTCAAACTGCAATAAAAAATATAAAATATAAAGGACCGACATTGAAATATAACAGATGCTGAATTGTTGATTGAGACTTTAGTCTTTTAAAAACAAAACAAATTCTATATGAAATAAAAAATACAAATCACAAATGCAGTGATAGGCAGCAGAAAGAAGAAATTAATAATTATGTTGAATCATAAGGTTTTTCTTTCTGCTTCCTTTCATTTGTTTTATTTTTTAATGTAAACTGATTTTTCTTTGAATGAATGAATTAAATAAATAAATAGTTTCTGTAGCACAGTCTTGTTGGGAATAAAGATCAGTCCAACACATTTCATTAGTTTTCTTATTAAAGTCAGACTTATTAAAGTCAGACTTATTAAAGTCAGACTTATTAAAGTCAGACTCATTAAAGTCAGACTTATTAAAGTCAGACTCTCAGAGGAAGAGGAGAAGCCAAACGTCTGTCTCTGCAGATTGTTGTTTTTATTTGTATCCAGTTGTTTTTAGCTGACTCAGCTGACAGGAAGTCCAGGAAGCTGAACCGTGGACAGATTCAAGCTCAGAACCAAAAATGATCCTCAGCGAACAAACATCAGGTTTTATCCTTCATGAGAACCATTTCCTGTGAATCATTTCGTCRACGCTTCCTGTTTCTGTTTCAGTGTCGAGACCAGATCTGGACCTTCAGACTCGCGTGTCCCGGTGGACCCAGACCTCTGCAGAACCTGTCGGCTGCTGCAGCAGGAAACCGAGCCGTGAGATCAGCTTTACTCTGTTTCTCTTTCAAAGAAATTAAAACGTTGGATTTTATTTACCTGTTCCTGTTACAGGGCGGAACTCCGAGTCTGGACCAGCACCAGAACCTGACAGCAGGAGCCCGGGTGGTCCTTGTCCTCAGTGTCGGTCAAACATCAGAGGACGTCCTGAACGTGAGACAGAAACTCCTTTATTT